TCACTGTACCCCCGGCTCCATGCAGGCACTGTGGTGGGGTATCTCCAAGCCTGCATCACTGCCGTGTTGGGCAGCTGCCACTTGCTGTAAGACCCCTGGGGTTGGGATGCGGCATGATATGTGCACACCTGCGTCTGCTTTGTCCAGGTGTATGAAAGACTTGCATGGATTTATTTCCTCCATGGTCTCATGCTGTGCTCTTTGGTTTCCAGGTTCCTCCTCCAGGCCAGGGTGCTGGCGGTGTGGGCTCACTGCTGGAAGAGGGGTTTGGTGCCTGGTGATTTTTCATGACTGGTTTCATCTTGGGCAATGGGGCAGTTTTAAAATGCTCCACTCCACTAACCCAGCTGTGTGCATGGGGGGCACTGCTCAATGACATGGCCATGTCTTTTGCTCAACCTTTCCAGTTTGGTAGCACTGGTGGCTCTTTGCTTTTGTCCACCATCCTTGGCCCCTGATGAAAATCAAGAATTGCCTTCTGCATGGCCATTTCTGTTCCCTCAACACAGTCTGCCATGACAGGCTTCTTGTGGGGAGTTTATTATTGTCTTGTGGACATGATCTTTGGTGCCTAATGTTGTAATGAGGGCTCCTTGTTAATGAACACATTCAGGGACGTTCGATGTGAAGGGTCCCCAGCTCCTTTCTCATGAAGGAGTGGCAGGAAAGGCATCAGAAATCAAGGTGATTGGAAGAAGATGGGAGTGGAAAATCTGAATAAATAAGCGATTCTGTGAGCAATGGAGTGACTGAAATGTTCTCGATCATCTTTTTCTCCCTTTCTTGTAACATCTGCAGCCTGTGCAGACTTTCAAATATCTACTTCCACACAATAGTGAAATGGGACAAGGAAAAATTCAGCCTATTACTGGAAGTGTTAGCAAGTGTGGAGAGAAAGGTTTCCTGAGATGGGGCCAATGGAGTTTGCAACTTAGCTGAAAGTACAATGAAAATGCACCACTTAGCGAATGTATAAATAATTCCATACATTATTCTATAGCACATCAAAACACAGAGCCAGCCTCACACGCTTCAGCAATTTTTGCTTCTGAGTGTTTTAAATGAGCTTGAAATCCTTTCAGATGCTTTTCTTCATAGGTGAATGACTATCCAATGTACCAAAAGCAAAAATGTAATTAAACTTTAAACTCTTAAAATGTCAAGTACCACTGGGATAACACATGGGTAAAACACAGTAATTGTTTATATTTACTCTATGTCTAGTTAACATTTCTTTTCAGGTGCCTGCCAGAAATGCTAGCTTGGCAAAGGCAAAAACTGTAAGAATTAGTTTGTCTTTGTGAATTCAAAGCTTCAAAGTCTTAACTGACTTTTGATGTGGTATGATCTCATTACCTGCATGCTGAGAATAATGCTCTACTTATGCTGCTAATGCAGTGGGGCTTCTCACCCATATATTTCAAAGCCATAAACATACAGCCTTCCTCTAAAGCTCTGGTAGCACTGAATCTCATCTCAGAGAATCCAAGCATGCTGTCTGCCAGGCCTTGATGCTGCACTTTTAAAATGGAAGAATGACTCTCTTCTTTTTTTCCCTCAAGTTCTTTCCACATCTTCCTGGGACTACTGGCCATTTCAGAGGCATTGGAAACCCCTGTGTCCCAGGCATCAGACTAACATCTGTCTGCTGTGTTGTTGTCTTAGTAGGAAATAAGGAATTAAGTCCTTATAAGAATAAGGACAGAGGAAAGGGTGTCTAAATTGCCATACTAAGAAAGCTTTTTGCTGCCAGGTCATGTGGAAAATCATGTTAAACCTGTTATATTCAAGTGTAAGGCCCTACACCTCAAGTGTGTACATGCAACACCTAACTAATCCTACTAAAAGTTAAGGGATTCATTGAATGTATGAGCAGACTTCAACAATGTTCTCATTTCTCTGCTCTGGTTGAGAAGAAATGTTACATTTCCAATTCTGATTTTAATGTGGTAACTGTAAAAAAGGTGTGGGATAGAAAAGCAAATATGAACTAAACCCCATCTTTCTTGTGCACTGCAGATGATATGTAGGAGAAGGTATGAACTTGTTCTTTGATCTTGGATGGGGTTCCTGTGTGTATAACTTGCAGGGGCTGTGCAGGGACTCTGAGATTAGTAAACACTGCAGGGAATTTTTGTTTTTACAGTTCTTGCCTTTTGAAAAATGGACTTTTCCACTACCAATAAGCTGTGTTTTCCAAGCAGAGGTGTTATGCACATGATGCCTTGTTAACTTGACCCCAGCTTGCTTTTGAGCAGATCTGAGTGAGTCCAATTTTCATACTAATGGATGTGTTGAGCTTATAAAACATTCAAGAGAAAACTGTGATAAAACATGTTAGTAGTATTTATGAATTTGTGTTTTGCTGGATTGCTCCAGTTTACTGATGGTTCAGGTGGTTCCACCAGATCCCAAAAGGATCTGCATTTGCAGAGCAAGTTCTTCTGCTAATGCTCAGATATTTTGCATTGAGTACATTGCAGACTGTCACAGGATTGTATCTTTGTTTTGGGGTGCTGAAAAAGTTGTATACCAATCCACCTTAAAAATCAGACTTCCAGGGTATTACTGTAAACAAGATCTCTGGAGTGATCAAAACATTGAAAAAAGCTTTTGGAAAGATTCTGCACTTCTGTGGAGGTTTGATTAATTCTCAAGGCAGAAAATTCCCTTCTGCATCTAGACACTCCCTCCCCTTGACATTTGCTCTGTTTCATCTCAAGTACCTGATCACCTGGGTAAGGCAATTAAAGAAAAAATAATCCTTTTACTCCTACCTCCTCTTTTTAAAATGGCTTGTGATAAAGCCTTGTAGTAAAGGCCAGTGGAATCAGCACTATAATTATCATGAGAGATTTGAGAGATTAGTCCCAAACAGTTTTGTGTGGTTTTGTTTTGTTTTGTTTGTTTATGTTTTTCATTTGGTTTTATTGCTGATTTTTTGTTTGTTTGTTTGGTTTGGTTTGGTTTTTTTCTTTCATCATTTTGTAGTCTCCAGAGCTCTTGTGACCAATTTAGCCACCTGCAATGCAGACACCTACATCAAACTGTCTGGACTCTCTTAGTGGTGAGGGAGGAGAAAAGGTGCTTCCAAGGGGTCACTGATGTTTCAGGGAGTGCTGCCTACCAGGAGGGATTAAACCAGACCTGTTCCCTCAGCAGCTTCTGTAGGAAATCAAATTATAAGATCACAAGTCCAGGGGTTTCGAGATGTGTGGACTGGGGACCTTAGTTTAAAATACTATTTGGTAGCAGTTTAGTTCTAGATTCAATCTGCACATACCACAGGGCCTGGAGAATGTGAATCAGCAATCCCTTTGCTTGATCATAAAAAACTTGTGACTATTACTCTTTCCTGGTGTGATCTCAGGCTATCCATGGGGATGGGAAGCCAATCCCTTTGGAAACCTTAGTTGAATGCTGTGGCCCAGTCTTTTATTTCCACCTTGCCTAGATAACAGATGAAAGACTCACATGCAAGAACAGGCTTGTCCATCTCCTGAACACTGTGTGCCAGGGTAGCCGATTGAAAAAGCAAGTTGCAGACAGGGGGTACTACAAGCCAGAGAGAATTATTTTTCCTTTTAGCACCAGGTAGTCTACAGGCTTCCCATCCAATGTCTTTTGTTATTAACAGCCAAGCAACAAGGCAGGGGCAGTCTCTGACCTTTCTCCAGGCTGGGAGATGTTAATGGATGGGTGTGAGAGGTTGCAGTCGTGGTGGAGGTGAAAGGCGAGCAATCTGAACACATCCGTCAGGCTTGTTCCTGCCAGCTGCTCTGATCCAAGCAAAGTGAAATAATCACAGAGAAGACAAAACAAGCAGATCTGAGGAGTAGTGGGTTTAGTAGACAGCTGTACACATTCCCTATTGTAGGGAGCTGCCAGGGCTGTGGGGTTTGGCCTTTTTGAATTGAGAAGGTACCTGTCCAAGTGAGACATCACCATCAGCTTCTTAGGAACAAGGTTTCTGCTGTTCAGTCCCAGAGAGTGTAAGTGTGGTAAATGTGTCACATCTTAATGACTGTTTTGACTTTTCCTCTATGGTTATGGATGAAGAAAAAGCAGAACCTCCTGTCAAAAGCCAGAACCAGCAATGAACTAGGTTGCGAGTGCCTCAGCGTATGTCAATCCCTTGACGTTCCCAAAGGATCACATCTCCTGTGTTTTCATGAACTTCTTTTTCTTTGCACCCATTTCCTTGTTTATTTCAGTTCTCCTCTGCCTTTCTACTGGGAGTTCCTTCCCCTGTCTATTTTCAACTCAAATTTCTCAATCCCCTTTCTTCTCTTCCTTGCCCCATATTTTCGTTCAGGCCTGCTCCACTGAAACTCTATTGCAATCATTCTTGTCCCTTTCTTTGAATAACTGCCTGCTCCTCCTTCTACCCCTACATCTTCTCTTCTCTATCTTCAGTTCAATCTGTTTGAAATCCTCCCTCAGCTTCCCCATGTCCTGGTCAACCTCACACCCTCCTTTATTAACGTCTCAGATGGTGACTCTTCCTTATACCTCTTTAATTTTAGGATTCCTCTCCTGCATCTCTTTTTGATTTTGTCACACCCTGAGTTCAACTGTCCCATATTGCTTCATTGCAGGGAAGTTTTGTAGACTTTGTACTAATCAGTTTAGTCTTATCTTCTCAGTTTCTCTGCAGCAGGGTCTAAATATATTCTGTGATGTGTAATGTGGGTTAGGTTTTCTCTTATAATGCTACTAAACCATCAGAGGCTCCATAAAGGTTTACACTGTTATATTGTATTATGGCTCTACAGCATAATCATGTTACCCAGCAGAAAGCCTGCAAAAAATCTAAGATTACACTTCTTACTAGGAGGTGAATTGTGATTAGAGAACCCAATGGAAAAATTGGGTTGCTTCATTTATTTCTGTTGTCAATTTATCAGCCTAAGAGTTAATCTGCAGCTATGGCAGACTGAAATAGCTCCATTTGTTCTAGCAAGTGAGCAGAGAGGACATGGCCAACCTGCTGAGCTTCTCTCTGCCAACTGGCTGCTGTTTGGAGATGTGGGCTGAAGTGAAGATCTGCTTGTCTGTGTTTTGGATCTGATTATGTTTGTCGACCTTCTGACATTTTCTGTTGTTCATCAGATCTAAAACTGGAAGCAATGTGCTATTTTAGTCATCAGGCAAAAAGGGCTGCTTAAGTTCCACCTGTGTCTTTGTGTGTCTGGGAGTAATGGTGAGTGCTTTATTTTCCTAAGATCACAGAATTAGCCAACAGGGGCACCAAAAACTTTTTAAAAGGGGTCTTAAATTAGATAGATAGCATGGTATTTGGATCTTTAATTATTTTTTGGTGAGGTTTCTATAATGCCAGGCAGCATGGATAAGTATTGCATGATTGTTATCATCATAGTTTCTTTCATGAGGTGAAAAGGAGAGTATCCCACTTTCTCTATTTCTCCAGCAACCTTAGATTTAATGAAAATTATTTTGGCTTCATTCATTGCTGTGTGATCTTTTATTGAAAAACCTAGTATGGTTACTTATCCGGCTTCTAAGAATTATCTTGGGTACATCAGCCATTTATCACATAACAAATGTTAAAAGATGGTATTTGGATACATAACTTCTCAGTAGCTTTTGTGTTCTTTATCACACACCAAAAGCTTTTAATCATAACCTCATTGACTTAATGGGTGAGATTCTAATCCCCTGAAGACCTGGGTTGTACCTCACTGGCTTGCTTACTATTAAGTTTGAGTGAAGTGACATTAGAATAGTGTTATGGCATGCTGTTAAAAATTCAGAGTAATTTTTTTGATTCAATATGGAATTTCTATTGGGGCAAATGGAAAAAGATTCAGACCCTTGATCTGCTACACATTTATGACTTCTCTCTCAAGCCTGAATCTATTGCCTTTGTTCTGCTTTCCATCACAGATTAATTGCTACCACCTCAAGCTGACTGTTGTTCTATATTTTAAAACCATTACTATTAAGAGACTGTGTTATGATACATCCACTTCCAGTGAACTATGTTTGAAGAATGGATAAAGAATTCATGGCTGCCAGTTGAGGAGATACTAATGTATAAATGCGAATAAATACATAAATACATATATGTAAGTACATATACGAAGACACATATATACATATATACATAGTTCCTATCTTCAATTATTAATGGTGCTGCCATGAAGGATACTTCTTCTGCCAATTAGTGGAAAGCATAGTGGTTATTTCTGCAGTTTCCCCCCTCTCCCCCCCCTCTGATTTTTTTTTTTTGTCTTGTTTCCAAACTGGTGTTTATAGTTCAAGTTAATTTCTTGTTAACAGTCAGTTTAATTTTCTGTTATCACAGCCCCTCTAATTTTTCCAATATTGCAGCATGAGATAACAGAAAAAATACCTATTATCACTTGGGATTTAGCTTCTTGCAATGTTGTGGACAGAATGGTAGTTAAACAATACTTGCTGATTCAGGAAACTGAGCAAAAAGTACTGATATTTGCATAAACTGCTAGACAATTGGTCCATACAGTCTGAACACTTCATACTATTAAGGTATTTATCTTCAAGACAACTTTTCCCAGGAGGTGAGAGTATAATATCTGGTTTTGCTGATGATGAATGGGTGCACAGAACTATTAATTGACTTCCTAATGACATACAAAGAACAGTCACAAGTCAAACCTAGGTCTCTTGACTGCTGAACTTTTAACCATAAGACCAAATTCCTTTCAATAACTCATGTATCATATATTTGAATTTAACAGATCCTGTTTTTCTGTTTGTGTGTCCATCTGATACTGCTGGCTATAATTTTGGGGTAATATCTTTTGGTAACAGTAAATAGGAGGAAACTCAACTTCTAAAGTTTCTACCTGGTTAGGAACTCTGGTGTTTGGCATTACAGAAATAGGAATCAGCTACTTTTAACCAATTACTTTTCCCGACAAATGCAAATGTCCAAGGCTTTAGGTTCATATATTATGCTAATTTGTTCAACTGGAATGTGTTTAGAGGATGGCAAGGCTGCTTTCATATCAGGTGATGAGAAAATCTTGGTAAGATTGTTGGAAGGCTAGGTGTTCAGACAGTCAAAGTTTTCATAATATATAAATAAATCAAGTATATATAAAAGTTTTGGGAAAGCATTTAAAAAAATATTGTGACCTTAATTATATGAAAAATTATAGAAAATATGTTCATGTAAATTAATTTTTAATGACTGCATGAAGAACCTTAATATGTATACATATATATATATGTAATGAAGTAGTGCTATATGAAAACTCGTTTACATTCTAAAACGGTGTGTGTAAGAAGTGGTTCTTTGGGGTTTCTTTAGTATGAGATTTTTAAAATAACAACGGCTAGCCTGCTAGCCTAAGAAGTATGTGAATATGAAGAGACTAACAAACTGCTTGCAAGCTTTTTGCTTTATCACACTATTCTTTTTTTTTTTTTTTTTTTTTTTTAATTTATTTTAAAATAAAGACCATTAAGATAGCTCTGATTGGTTTGTGCCTGGAACTTTCTACAGTGAGCTGGCAGAATCAAACCTAACCAAAGTAACAAGTGTTAACTAACTTCTACCTAATGTCATATATGATTGTTACTACTATGTTTTAGTCTCTCCTCATCTATCCACTCATCCAAGTCCAGTTATTGAGTGTATTAGACACTTTTTCCTCAGAAGCCTCAGCTCAAGTCAGGCAATGAGACGATAATCTATTCTATGGGAGAAATTTAGGCAAAGTGAACAGCTCTGCCTACAAATCTCAGTATACAAAACTTAGATATTTTGTAATTGTTTCTATGCTGCTTTAAATTTTGAGCTATTCCATTCACTGAACACTGAAACATTTCAGGGCTGTTGGTTTCAAGTGCCGAAGACCAATTGCCCTTCATTAGTCTAATCTGCAATTTATCACTGTCTTACTAGAAAACAAACCAACCCAAACTCTGTGGTGAACTGACAGTCTGGAGAACATCCTTCCCTTTTTGCTTGATTTCTCTTTTGTATTACAAATTACTAGCTTTCACAGCTGATGCTGAGGTTTCTGGCATCAGTTTTCTGGAAGGACATATCTTACTTTCTTCCAGTGATTAGGTGAGAATGTGGCAGTGCATGAGCAAGGTGTGTTTGGTCTCAAGCCAAGAAGATCAGGCCCAGGTAATAGCACTGCCAGACCTACCACAGCTCAACATGTTGTCAATGAGCAGCTGGTCTGCAGTAAAGGACTGAGAGACCCAAGCTCAGTACAATTGCAAGTCATCCTCCTGGTAGCTTATTAACACGTTTAGCTGTGTCAGTGCAAGAAGCTTTCACATAGGTCCATGATCAGGGTTGGTGATCTGGAGGAGAGATAGTAATGCATGGAGAAGCTGAAAGACAATCTCAGATAATGCACTCATGAGGGAAGGTTCCCTTTGCAAAATTAGCTGTTCACTAGGTAGACTGCCTCTGCTTGCCACTTGTCTTGGAGGACAGCATGCTCACTTTGTTCTCACTTATGGGAAAGGCTTAAATGAGGTGTTTGGATCAGCCCTTATCTAAATCAGGGCTAAGTCCCAAATTGCAGTTCACCTTGCCATCCTCCCAGGAACCAGTCACAATCCTGAGTAACAGAAAGTTTTAAGAAAGTTGATCAAGAAATGTTGTGCAAGACTCTGCAGAGCTTGAACAGTGGCCTTCCTTTCCAATCCTCTGCCTAAGACCATTTTATAGTTTTGCTAATATACTTCGTTACTCCAACTGCGAGAAGTGAGCCTTGTAACACTGCACTGCAACCTTCCCAAGGAGATCACTGTGTGTACTAGCTACCTATGTAAAACTGGGATAAGGTTTCTTTAGCCATGGTATGTGTTTCTGCTCATTGCAAAACCAAAAGGACAAGTTGGTGCCAGGACACGGGTATGGTATTGCCCTAAAATTCCACCATATCTCTGTTTCCTCCTTAAAATATTTACTATTACATATCAGCAGAGCTTTCTACAAATGTCATAGGTCTGCAGAAATCTGGTGACATGCTGCACTAAGACTTGTGTCTAAATAGACCTTAATTTCACACCAAACAAGCACTGTAACTCCATGCTGTTCTGTGCTGTTATGTCTCTAGTAAGGACACTATGCTTTTTTTACAAGCTGCAGCCCATGTGCTCTTGTTAGTTCAGCCATCAGCTGCTGTGAATGAAAGCAAGTGGACAGAAAGGGGATGTAGTTTCAGTGAAGAAGACATCAGGAGAACAACAAACGAGCTGTTGATAGTGGTTGTGTGTGAAGCACTTTTGTATTCATGACAATCTGCTCATTTGTGAGGAGCACAGAAAATCAATCAAAATCAAATGCAAACAAAGAAATGATAAATTAATCAATAAAGCTATGGGCTAATCAAATGGCACCCTCCTCAATTACTCTAATAGAAAAAGAACAATTGCTGGTTATGGCTCTTGGTTTAGAATAGCAGTCTTTGCAATCAAGCACTGATTCAGTTGTTAAGTTAATTAAGTTAAGTGAGCTGTATAGAACAGGATTCCACTTTGCTTTTTATTGTTGAATGAGATAAATGGATTCAGTTTGCCAATTTCATACACCTTCCCCAAAGACTGCAAAAGAACCATGTACATGAGTTAATATTTGTGTATAGCCTCATGGCAGTATTTTGTAAGGGCAGGATTAGAGGACACAGAAGAGTTCTGCTCCACTGCAGACGCTTGTGCTTTTACACTATGTAAACCCTGTTATATAATCAAGCTTCAACTTCAAACCCTCTAATTTCTACTTTTCTTGTTCTAGAAGTCCTCTCCTCTATCTAGAAATTACTTCCTGGTTTCCAGATTAACTATGTCTAATTTACCTTATGTTTAGTTCTTTCAAAAGCTGAATGTCTGTGGTTGGGCTATATTACCTTATGTCTGATGCTTACTTGGGGATGCAATAGTGGAGAGAATCCACCTTGTCTGTTGAAGAGCAGGTTCTGGTCACTTTCTGGTCTAAATCTTTCTAAATTTACATGTGATACTCAAAAAAAATACAACTGTTCATCTGCCATAGTATATTCCCCTGTTCATTGTTCATCTTCTAGTACAAAAGCAAGTACAAAATTCTTATTTCAACTGATTGGAGTTGGGAAGAAAGGGGTTGTAAGAGGAAACTATGTAGATTTAGCCTTGGGCTGTTACAATAATTTAGGAAACTATTTTTGTGCTTAGGTACCTGGGTGATCATAA